TATATATATATTTTACACACATACACATCAATAAGAACGTAAGCAAGCTAGCAAGGGATAAAATTAAACAAGCAACTACAAAATAAAAAAATAAAAAGTAACAAAAAAAGCAATAATAACTAATACTAAATGAAAACTTAAACCCCATTAATGATAAAAACATTATGGTAAGTTGGAAGAATGTTATATATCAATATTTTCATCACTGTTAGTAATCACGTTGTCGTATTCGATATTCGGCTTATATAATATATAAAAGTAAAATAATACAGTAAAAAGACTAACATTATATGCTATATATTTGTATATGTATATATGACAATATACATACGTAATAAAATAAATAGACTCACAATATAAATGTAATTACTATTTCTTAATTATTATTTCTCTTCCTTTTCATTAATTCAAACAGCAACGTTGGTAACCTATAGCTAGGGAGCTGTCGAGCAAAATATCTATATGAAATCATGTGACAGATTTTTTTAATAGCTATAATTAAACGATAAGGACCACGTCTGCCACCATGATAACGCTGCATTGTCAATTGAAACCCCCTTAAAAATTAAAAAAAAATATATATATATATAGGTATACTATATCATTATATCTGCCTTTTAGGCTGATGTTTAGAAACCTGGTCAAAATGAAAAAGGCAGAAAATTCTCTGACTTTCAAGTTATGAATTTTTAAAGATTTTTATCATTTAAAAAAATATATATGAAATGCGCGCAGACCTGCAGTATTCCCTTAAAAACTCAGCGAAACACAGCACAAAAATAGTCTGCCACCATCGTAACGCTGAGTGTTTTATTTATTTCGCTTTAAAAGTGTCGGCAAAAAAAAGTGTGCTATCATTTGCGAATCACATAATTAAATGCTCGCCAGCTCGACGGCGTGTGTCAGGCACAGGAGTCACCTACGTGCCCCTTCTACGTTACCCATTTTATAGACTCGGTTAGGATTATGTTCTGTTGCGCAACTGAAACGCTGTAAAGAAAGGTTTTAGGAATAAAGATTTCGAATTTTGTCTCTGCTATTAACGACCAGATAATTAATGATTATTTTATTAATTAATTTTCTGGTCAAAGATAAATTTCAATTAAAGGCATTCACGTGAAAACCATTTCTGTTAGTACATTTATTAGTTTTATTTATTTATTTTAAAACTCTAAAGAAGTTACGTAATTCGTAACGTATGGTTCTCTTATCTGTAGAAATGTTTGCTTGCACAGCTTGTTTGAATTATTATTAGTTTTTAGAATGTAATTCTAAAAACAGTCATACCACATACTAGAAGTATTATAATGACAATCTTTTGTGATATGTTTGATGACGTCAGTGCAATTTGTTTAAAAATTTGCATTTTATATAATTAAAATGTTGTGTATTCAACTGTCTTGGATTAGTTAGCAATGGAATATTAATATATATGACTAATTAATCTATGTTATATGTTTTTTTTAATATTAAATTAAAATTGTTGATTTCCTCAAAATGTTTTAATTAGGAAGAAAAGTATTTTCTTTTTAATTTCTAAACGCAATGGTATATAAATTAAATTGTTAAATAACTTTAATGGAATTATTATAAAATCTTAACCTAAGATAGGTATTTATTCCATGGTTTTGAAATACAATCTCAGAATAATCGAAATCATAAAACGACATGGAGAAGATCCGATGATATCGAAAAAAAAATAACGTGTGTGTTCAGTCTATTGTTTATAATCTATAACTAACCAACTGACTACTAACAACAACTAACCAAGAACCGATAAGGGGCTATTTAAATTCATGTAACGTCTAACTAGAAAATGTGATTATCCGTAACCAATTGTTTTTAAGTAATTTAGAAATCGAATATATTTATCATTTATATAAAGTACAAGGTTATTTTTTTGGCTTACAAATTCTGATGTTTTCATTTATATCAATTTAGTCACAAATTCAGATGTTACAATTTTTCGTAAAAGACAAGATCTTTTTTATAGAACTTCCTTATTGTTTAGATAATATACCTTGTAGATTCTACTCACAAATCACGCTCATAATAAATTTATTTTTCAGTACACCAGGGAGAGGTAAGCCAATGAAACTCAAACGAAAAAAAGGAAGAAAACTAAGAAAAAACTTTTAATAAATGTTTTATATACTTTTCCGATATAGTGGTTTTATTTGTCTATTTTCGTCTTGATTAAACATCCATAATAAACATAAACCAGTAGAATACTATGTGAAACACTTCAATGAATAAAAAATACAACTTCCATTTTTTATTATTATTAATTTGTAGGTTAAGTATATTGTAAATACATTTGATGAGATAATTATTAAACAAATATATGATTTCCTTAGTAAAATTTTATATACATTAGTTTTTTTATTAATTTTGGCCCTAACAGATTTTTTTCTTTATAATTTGATTCTTTAACTCTCATAGTCTTCGTTACTGAAGGTCATGCCTTTCTTGAAAAGCCCTAACTTATATGCTGACTTGCTTCCGCCACACCACTCACTCAGGGCATTGCAGTCCTTACTATTCGCAACTTCCTTCTCCAACACAACATCTCCAATGCCTCTACTTTTATCGGTCCTAGCCTGCTATGTCTATATCTAAAATACAATTAAAGTTAAGGAACCCTAATTTACACGGTTGATGAATAAATATAGCGGCTAATAAGCAAAAGGTTCATTTGCAATTTTTCTTTATATACAGTGAAAAGCTATCCACTAAATTGTGCAAAATGATTATATTATATTCAGTTTCACGAATAATTGTTTTTTTAACGTTATCAACTATATGCTGTCTAGCAGGTAATTATTTTTATAAACTCTTTTATTATTCCATTAAAAAATTGTTTTAATTAGATACTATTTTATGATACTTTATAATATAATCGGGTAATAATGACTTTGTTTTTGAAAACTAACAATATACCATCAAATATTAAGCTAACAATATTAAAAAAATATTTCTTTATTAAGATAAAAACATTAATACATAGTAACATTTCAGTAAGTGTATTTTGTTTTTTGTTTAATCCAGTGAGATTATGCCCGCCTTCCACTGCGTAAGTGTTGATTGAGAAATAGTTGACCGGCGGAACGGAGTTTGAATTGATAATAGTTTTTGCCTTCCACTGACAACGAGGTCAACTAGGCGGAGCGGGAAGCGGGAAATGAACGACTACTCCGTGCATTTTCTGCCTAGTTCTCGCTCCACCCAGCAAGGACGCACACCTTTTGCGAGCGGGGAGCTGAGCACCAGTATTGGGCAGCCTTTTTTGACTTTATTTCTATGTGCGCATTTAACATTCGCTCGAACGGTAAAGGAAAACATCGTGAGGAAACCGACTTGCCTTAGAGCCAAAAAGTCGACGGCGTGTGTCAGGCACAGGAGGCTGATCACCTGCTTGCCTATTATATTTAAAAATGATCATGATACAGATTCAGAAATCTGAGGCCCAAGACCTAAAGAGGTTGTAGCGCCACTGAATTATTTTATTTGTTTGTAAAGATGATCCACGTATAGAAAAACTTTTAAAGTGAGAAACAATATCAAATATAGCATTAATTAATTAAGGTTCATGATAACTCATTTTATTGACATAATTACTATTTTTTTGACGATACAATTACAAACGGAATTGAGCCATATCATATCGATTATTCACCATAATATGATTAGAAAATTTAATAGATTGCTTATTTGCGTAAGACAAGAGGGATCCAATTTTGAGCTTTTAAATAATTAATTTCCAAAAAAATGTTTAATCGACTTCAACAGTTTCATGTATGTTTTTAATTTGATTAAAATGATTAATTTCACTTTGTTCTTTTCCTTAAAAATACTATGTTACTTAATTAGATTATTTTTGGTCCATTCTCTTGATTGGCATCAAAAAAATAAGGAATGTTTTTTATCTCATTTGAGTCAGTTCGATTCCCAGACGAGACAGGTAATTTTTAGAAAATCATTGATAGCAGTAATACTTACTATTTAGAATAAAATAAAGTCTTGTTTCAGCAAAATATCCCATCTACCATATTTAAAAGTACTTTCCCTTGATGTCCCATAGTCTTGGGACGCCCTGTATATATATTGCTATAATATTATTTGTTCAAGTTATTTATTACATAATATTTAGTTTTATAACAATACACTATAATTATTCATTCTTTTAATAACTACAAAAGATTAGTATCATTTGTAGTGACTTCCCAAGGGTCGCATCCCCCGCTTGAGAAACGATAGGTACTCTAGAGTCTAGAGTCTAGGCAGCCAGCCCTAAGTCTTGATTGTGAATCTTGCGCTTGAATTAGTTGTTGGCAGTTTTAACACGATATATTGATCAGGTAGCTGATGCTGATACAATTCTACACCTGCGTTTAACTATCATATATATTGCTATAATATTATTTGTTCAAGTTATTTATTACATAATATTTAGTTTTATAACAATACACTATAATTATTCATTCTTTTAATAACTACAAAAGATTAGTATCATTTGTAGTGACTTCCCCAAGGGTCGCATCCCCCCGCTTGAGAAACGATAGGTACTCTAGAGTCTAGAGTCTAGGCAGCCAGCCCTAAGTCTTGATTGTGAATCTTGCGCTTGAATTAGTTGTTGGCAGTTTTAACACGATATATTGATCAGGTAGCTGATGCTGATACAATTCTACACCTGCGTTTAACTATCATTTGAAAGTAGTTGCGATTTTTGCTTTTTTATTACGAATACAGATACCGGCAAACTTCTTGAGCATTAAACAAGGGAGTGGCGTAAAATTTGCGCATCTGGGACGCAAACGTTAACTGATTTACCAATCACGCGATCGACACGTCACTCTCCCGCCGCCGCGCACCACCGCCCTCCGCCACCACCCAGCGATACCTAAAAATCGCTTCTGCGTAGGCAAGGACATTTGTTCAAGATGTTTGCCGGTATCTGTACTCCATTGAAATACTCGGAATTGGTTAATCTTTGACACAAAATGTTTTTAACAGATCTACCATGTGCGTATCGACAAGGAGACAAGCCAGATCGATTAGTCTGCGTGTGTAATGCGACATACTGTGACACAATCGACAGAGTTCCACCTCCAGAAGATAGTTACATAACATACACTACTTCTAAGGTAATTTACTAGACATTTTAAACAGCCTCAAATAAAAACGAAAACGAAATGTATATTTCTTTAAATAACAAATGAAGAACGGTCTCGTTTCTTCCTTAATAATTGTGCAGATATACCAGAAAAATAAGAGCAGTGTTGGCCTAATGGCTTCAGCTTGCGACTCTCATCCCTGAGGTCGTAGGTTCGATCCCCGGCTGCGCACCAATGGACTTTCTATGTGGGCATTTTAACATTCGCTCGAACGGTGATGGAAAACATCGTGGGGAAACCGACATGTCTTAGACCCAAAAACGGCGTGTGTCAGGCACTGGAGGCTGATCACCCACTTGCCTATTAGATCGAAAAATGATCATGGAACAGATTCAGAAATCTAAGGCCCAGTCCTAAAGTTGTAGCGCCACTGATTTATTTATTTTATATATCATGAAAAATCGTAGGTTTTTACTGTGGTTGCCCTCAGATATCGTATCTGAATTCCTATTATATTTTATTTTACAAGCAGATCTTCAAAGCATGCGTCTGGCATGCCGTCGATTTCATTTTTAATAATATAACCAAGTATTAATTAAATGTTTCGAACACATTAAAAACAGCCTAGGTTCGATTGTACGGCCTTATTTGAGAGTCGATCTCTTTCTACCTATTAGTCTACGCTATGTTATTTTACGTGGAATGGAAAATTAAATTAAATTCTCAAATTTAATAACAACCTCTATTGGAATTTTTGTTAGTATCAAACCTTATTGAAAAGGCCGGAAAATAAAATATCGAGTTGTATTTTTTTTTAATCGAATCACATTTTTATACTAAGGCCGATTTTAAAAGTCATTGGATCGAATAACATTATATCATTTACATATTTTTTAACATTTATCTTATGTATGTTTCAGGCTGGATCACGATTTTTAAAAGGAATCGGGCGCATTGCTGATGCGGTGGATGGTAATTTTTTTGTATTTTAAAAATCAATCTTTATTTCGTAATCCTACAGCTAACATAAAAAATAGAAAAAAAAACAATTATTCTAAATATATAGCCAAAGATGGGATACATAATATTATATAAAAAGAGGTTCAAACATTTACAAAAGGAAAAAAAAATATTCAGTACACTTAACTAAGTACTACCTAATTCGACTGTGTTTTGTGAAAAAACTCAAAAACTACTGTTACTGTAAAAAAAACGATTGGTTACACTCCGGGAGTGCCGGCAGAAGTGAAAACTTTAATATTAACGTTGTGCATTTTTGATATTTTGGAATGGTTAGGGAATAATTTTGCACGAATTGCTTTAATTATCAGTATAAAAATACTATCATTTATGTGGTAGAATACAATATTTATTTATTGCGCTATCGTACACAAACATGACAATTTATATTACATTAAATACGCCACACTAGCTGTCTACATCTACTCTCCATCCGTCTTACGAATTTTCGATCAGGTCACGTGTCCTGACGCGAGTTTAAAATTTTTTACCCATTTCAAAAAAAGTGTACAACTCCGCTAAAGAAATTTTCACTTCAAAAATCTCCAGCAGCTGGGACAGTATAATATTACAAATATATTGTTTGCTAAAAATATTTAGTATTCTAGGTGGAAATTATGGCCGAGTAATCCAGCTCTATCCCAATGAAAGATATCAGACTATACATGGCTTTGGAGGGGCAGCTACTGATGCTGCTTGTATGAAGTGGAAATCACTCCCCGAAGGCGCTCAGGACAGATTTATAGAGTAAGTATAGAGTACTTTACGCGAGAACTGCTCATTAATGTTTTTATTTGTATCGACGTTTCGATTGAGTGCTAGCAACTTACTACTTTTTACTTAGCGAGTGACTTAAAGAATTTAATATTGCGTTTATATATCCGTTAAAAAAATTAAATTCTATATGGCCTTTTGTTGCGGGAGTTATGTAACCATTAGTTAAGTTACAGACATAACATTTATTACTAACGAAACACACAGAAACACACAAAATAATAATAATAAAAAAATAAAAAAAAATTTTTTTTCCTTTAAAGAACAAGGTACGTTTTAAGTGTGCAATGCGTGTGTGCTGTGGTTGTAACTGGCCCTGGATCAGCAGGAGGTGCAGACTGTTCCACAGTCTCTTTCACGGTCTGACCAGCACGGTCATTCTGCCAGAGACCACAACAGCTAGTTTGCGCCTCAGTAGCAAATGTAATGTGTGATTTCTATCGCAACTTCACTATTATACAAAGGTGTTATATCTACATGGGCCCCGAAGACTTTTAGGATTATATGATCTCAAACATCATAGGTTCTCTCTAAAATTATTTTTAGAGTGTAATGTAGCGAGCTGGTTTCTTACCTTACATTTAAAAATTGGTCTGTGATGATTTTTTTGAAGTTTTGTTTGAAGCAGAAAGCGGATTTGTAATAACGTAGGATAGTTTTTAAATTAATCTTATTCATTAGTAATCATAACAATCAAATATACAGTATTTACAATTTTAAGCTACATATTAATAATAAAAATAATAAAAAGAAAATCAAAAAGTTTGGTCCCTGTGGCAGTGTACCTTTATCGATGGCAGCAATTCCATCGATCGTATTGCGATAAGTATTCGTTGAGCAAGGAAAGCATCCGAGGGGTCACCAGAACTATCTACCAGGCGCCATTTTTTATTAAATTAATTTTAAATTTAGTTTTATAAATTAAGCATATGAAATTTTTTTTCAGATCCTACTTCAGCAAACATGGAATAGAATATACAATGATACGTGTGCCAATAGCGTCTTCAGATTTTTCAACTCATCCCTATTATTACAATGAATACCCAGAAAATGACAAAGAACTCACTAACTTTACTTATACTAAAGAAGACACGGAGTTCAAGGTACACTTAGTATAGTAACAGTATTTCTATTTCTATTTATATCGGTTTTTAATTCGTACTGTGAAGGAAACATCAAAAGCAGCGACAGCATGTGTCAGGCAAAGAAGGGTAACCAGCTACTTGCCTATTAGAAAAAACAAATGATCTCGAAACAGACATAGAAATCTGAGGCCAAGACCAGGTTGTCGTGCCACTGGTTTTTATAGTATCTAATATATAAAATTCTCGTGTCACATGGTTCGTTCCCATACTCCTCCGAAACGGCTCGACGTATTCTTATGAAATTTTTATCCATATTCAGTAAGTCTGAGAATCGGCTACTATCTATCTTTCAAACCCCTAAGTGATAAGGGGTGGTCATTTTTTTTTTATTTTTTAGATTTTTTTTTGTTTTTATTTTTTTATATACATACAAAAATTCATACAAACCCTAATTTTCACCCCTCTACAATCAACCCATATTTTTATTATTGTAGATAGTTATTTTAATGAACTAAAAAAAATGTTTACTAGAAATAATATACATGGCAAAACAAACGTTTGCCGGGTCTGCTAGTAGTATTATAAATATAGTTTTTCGGTCTTATTAATATATACTCGTGAATTACCACAATTGTGATCTTTAATGAAAGGACAGAGTTAGGTTATTTCGGCTGTTTTTGTCCATCACCCTGCTTTTTAATAACAACAATACTCCTACAGGTACAGCCTTCTTATGTGGAGTAACGAACAGTTAAATTATTATACCTTAAAATAAAATAAAACATTTATTTAAACTATAAAAAATAAAGTCTACAAGCAGTAGGCATTATGAAATAGGAGCACTTACATTTTAGCGAGATCAATACGGTAAAAAAAGGATTGAGATGGAACGAAGCATCTCGAAGTTCTTGTCAACTAGTTTAATAGAAACTTTGCAAGTCGTGTATAACCTTAACATTTCTACAGGAAACTGAGTCAAATTCTTAGCCAAAGAATTGTGGAATAAGTTTACAAAACTTGCTGAAACATCACTAGGCTCAAAACTAATAAGCAAAATATAGAATTGTCCCTATCTTTTCAGCTGCCTCTAATAAAAGGGGCAATAGAAGTAGCTACAGATGAGATATCGGTTGTAGCAGCTGTCTGGTCTCCACCAAGGTGGATGAAAACCGTGGACCCTGGATCAAGAGCAAGCAGACTTAAGGCAGAATTTTATCAAACTTACGCTAAATACCACTGCGAGTATGTTTTGGTTTATTATTGTTATAAGATTAACACGTAAATAGTAGTATTTGTACAATAATAGTTTGCTCTCAAAACTGTGAAAGTAATGATTGAAACTAAATTGTTTAGTCAAACAACTTAACCAGTTATTGAATACGTATATTGCAATGTCCGATTTTTTAATAAAAGATAGTATTATTTTAATTTGATTTAGGCAGAGTTTAATCGAAATACTATGTCGCTGGAGATCTGTTCCAGGCTCTAAATATATTACGGCACCGAGTCGTAAAAAAAGTATTTAATTTTGAGGTTTCTTACCACGTTTGCGGTTTAAATGAAATGTATTACAGATTTGTTAAGCTGTACGAAAAAGCTGGAGTTCCCATATGGGGAGTGTCGACATCAAATGAACCAATTGACGGTACTTTCACGCAAGTTGGGTTTGGACCACAAGATACTATGGGATGGTCTGTTGACCAGATGGTAAATACTTTTTTGGCCGCAGTTAACTAAACTTAAAACACATTAAACATTCATTCAATTAATTAATAACAAAAAAAATATCTTACCTTAAAATATAATAAATAAAATATATTTTTTTTTTTTTTTATATATATCACTTTTCTACTCCCCTGCCATTGTGTCCTTTGCACATCAAACGTCTCGAGAAAGACGCCCCGGCTACATCTGTAATATTTACAATATTCATGGGCGAGCCGGGACGCAATTCCTCGCGAGACCCGTTCTTGGGGTTTTGTTTGCCGCCTTTATATATTCCACAATTTTATCGCAGAACCGTTCCAGGCACGATCTGTGCTTTATTAACATGTCCTGTAGGCCGTTTCGGTCTACAGTCATCTGCATTTGTTGCTCCAGGTCGTGCCTGGACGATGCGAATATAGGGCAATGTAGGAGCACATGTTCTACTGTTTGTTCTTCATCGCCGCAGGCACATGCTGGGCTTGTCCTAATTTTAAACCTATGAAGGTAATGTGCAAAGGCTCCGTGCCCTGTAAGAATTTGCGCCATCTGGGGTGTGAAACGCTTCTCTTTTATTAATTTGTACGCAGTTCTAACATTTGCGATGAATAATTTTGTAGTTCCAGCTGTTTCACCCCCCAGGTAGCGTTCATTCCATACATCTAGAGTCTTTTGCCTTATCTGATGTTTTACATATGACAGGGGGTATGCGGCGTATTCAGGTTTTGACCTTAGTCTTTCCGCCGCTTCTTTTGCTAACGTGTCCGCCCTCTCGTTCCCTGGCGTACCAACGTGCGCCTTTACCCAGAAGAGGCTTATATGAGTTCCTCTTTTGCGGCACTCTTCCAGGCTCCGGCGGATCTCGGCTACCTGGGGATCGAGAGATCGTCCACTCACAATAGCATCTAATGCTGACCTAGAATCACTGTATATTTTATCGTCACGCTTATTTTTATTTATGTGGCTAGTCGCGTTTCGTAGTGCCGTCAATTCAGCTTGAAAAACTGTGCAGTGGGACGCCATCTTAATCATCTTGCTATTTATTTCCATTCCATCCTTCCATTCCGTCCAAGCGGCACCCACTCCTATACTTGTTTTGCTGCCGTCCGTATAGATTTGTGTGCCGCCGTGTCCTTCGATTTCTTCCGGATTGGTGAGCATCTTGTAGTCCAGTTTTGTTTGTTTCGCCGGGTGTGGGAGATCTACGTATTTCACTCTCCTCTCTAATTCTTCGCCCTCCAGTATTTCCGTGCTGACCCCCCTTCTTATCTCGTATAAGGCAGCGGCTTCTTGAATACGGAGGTCTAGTGGAAGTATCCCGGCCAGTAGGGTTGCTGCGTGTAATGATGTCGTCCTATAAGTTTTTGCAATTTTTTGGGCAAAGCCCCTTTGAAGATGATTTAGTTTTCTGCGTACACAGATTTTATTTGTCGCGGGAGCCCACACCGCGGCCGCATACATTACGATTGGTTCAATAACGGCAGTGTACGCGGTCGCGATAACTTGCTGGTTTAGTCCCCATTCGATCTTCGCGGCTTTGGCCAGCTGCTTATATATCTGGATGGCCTTCCGGCATACCCTCTCCACATGTCTGTTAAATGTGAGTCTAGCATCCACATCAACTCCGAGAATTCGAATGTGGTTATCCATCTGTATTCATACCTATATCCACATTATTCATATTTAGCCGTGGGGTATCATACTTCAGTTTGCGCGTCACCACCATGGCTTTGGTCTTGTGTGGCGCAAACTTCAGTTTGTTTAGGATACCCCATCTATGTATCCTGTTCAATGTTAGGTTGAGGTTCTGCTGGATCTCACTACCGGTCTCTCCTTCCGCTATCAAAATGACGTCATCCGCAAAAGCCTGGACGTACTCACCACCATTTCGCAAGTCCTGTAGGAGCGGGTCCAATATTAGATTCCACATTGTTGGTCCCCCTATTGAACCCTGAACGCAGCCTTTGTTAGTTACTTTTTCAACCGTTTGTCCAGCGTAGGTTAATTTTATTTGTCTTTCGTGTAAGTAACTATCCATTACTTTCCTTAGTTTTAATGGGCATTGTTCTTCTGCCAGTCGGACTCTAATTTGCGGCCACCAAGCGCTGTCAAATGCGCCCTCTATATCGAGTGATACGATTGTTAGTATCTTCATTTGTTTCAGCTTTGCGCGTATATGTGTGACTGCGTCATATAGGGCGTCTTCAGTGCTCCGCTGGGGCATGAATCCGTATTGGATTTTCGAGGTTTTCGGGACTAGATGCCACTTTAGCCGAGCGATTATCATTTTTTCGTATACTTTGCCTAGAAGAGGTAGTAAGCCTATGGGTCTGTAAGACTTCGGGTTTGTATAATCTGTCTTACCAGGTTTGCGCAATACAATTATTGTAGCCTTTTTCCACAATTTGGGGAAGTACCCTAGCTCCAGGCATTTGTTTAGGACGGTGAGGAATAAGTTAGGCGCCGCGTTTATCGCGTGCCAACTTATGTCCGCCGTTATGCCATCTTCTCCGGGGGCCTTCCTCGGGTTGAAACTGAGAGCGGCGGTTTCGAGTTCAGTCATTGTAAAAGGGGGATAATAGACTAAGTTATGTCCCTCTTTATTTACTGTGTTTGCTCTTCTTCTTATCAATTTGCGGTCTTCAGTTTCGTCCTCACTAGTGTCTTCCGGGAAGAAAGTTCTTGCCAAGGTCTCCGCTGACTCCCTTTCGCTAATGTATCTACCGTCCCTACGAAGTGGTAAATCCTGGACTCTGGTCTCTGTCCCTCTTATCACTCTATATATACCTTCCCACATTGTCTCTCTTTCCTGTTTCTCGCAGAACTTTTTCCAACTCTCAGTTTGGGCTTGTTTGATCCGGTTTTCATACTCTTGTTTTAATGCAAGGTATTCACCTACGACCTCTTGCCTTCTGCGTGCTGCGGCACATCTTATCCTTCTCTTTCTAGTCTCAACCTGTTTCTTGAGCACCTGTAGTTCTTCGGTCCACCAAACCATTTTTGTTTTCTTCCCGGTTTTAATTTTTGGAATTGCTATTTCACTTGATTTAATTAAAAAATATATTATTAAAAGGAGTCCCTTTAGGCAAGGTTCCGAAGATACTGGCAGCGTTCCCCCTTTGAATAGTTAGACTAATTCTTTGTCCGAGGTAGCTGCCAACTCTTCGGTCTCCTGTGATGTCGATTAACCTTTTTGATATTTCCTTAAAGGTCGGAAAGTGACTTTTTTATATTGTCTATTCTGCGATCATATATATTTTTTATAGTCCCCACAAGCCTCCGCCACAAATGAATTATTTCAATAGCAGTAGACCCTACTTACGTAGAATTAAGGAATATCGCAATCTAAGTTTTCATTTTACATTCGCTTTTAGGGAATTTTTATTGGCAAAAGTGTACAAAATTAATCTATTTAACTGTAAACCTTACGAAGCCCTAAGGAATTAATTAATGGTATAAAAACGGAAAACGAAAAAGAAAAGAGAATTTTTTTTCCTTCAAGAAAAGAGCGTACCTATTCTTGAAAGGCCGGCAACGCACTCGCGAGCCCTCTGGCATTGAGAGTGTCCATGGGCGGCGGTATCACTTAACATCAGGTGAGCCTCCTGCCTGTTTCTATAAAAAAAAAAAAAAAACGAAATACAAAACTTATCCCACGTTTGTGATTAGACTCGAGATGCTGACCAATTAGAATTCTAGGAATCGATTGATAGTTTTGTCATTTGTTAACATCACACCTGCCCTGCGATTCTGTAACTCACTTTTCGAACTCACACAGCGGTTTTCGCATCGGCGGTCGCTCTCAAATCAGTCGTGAAGCAGTCATTTTATGATTTGGCATTCTGATAAACAATAAACTACAAGCTCTTACCTTTTCACCATTACACCATGTTCCACATGACATCTTAAGTAATAAATAATAATAAAATCCATTAAAAACAAAGATTTGTCCTCTATCAGCAGGAGGCATGGTGAAATAGGAGCACGCGCTTACATTCTCGTGGGAACAACACGCAAATACATAGTCGAAATAACTAACATCACCGCATACACGAATTCAAGTACGACCAGTCACCACGAGTAGCACCCGTACACGAGTATGACGCATGGCCAGCCATCGGCCCCCTCGCCATATTTTAGGGAGAGAAACAACCCGACGCATGGACGCCGCCACAAGCAATGACATTATTATTTCAATAGTCTTAAAACTATAAATATTAAAAAAATATTTATAACGTTAAAGCTTGACGTATTGGTGATTTAACATAATTTTCTTAAAACCACAGTAATCTTAAATACCGCCTATTAATTTCTTTTCAGACAAAATGGTTGAAAAACAACTTTGGCCCAACGATGCGTAACTGTAATGGAAAAAAAATAAATATCCTAGCTATGGACGACCAGCGCTATTTGCTGCCTATATGGAATCTCGTGGTAAATAATATTTATTTATAAAAGCTTTGATGTATTACATTACTGCATTCAGATAACATAAGTTAAGGAGGCACGGGCGCTATCGTTAACAAGCGATCTCTTCAAGGCAACCCTAGGAAGGAAAAATAAATGCTAAGGGTGGGTAACTTTTTTTTAAGTGCACAACTATGTTTAAAATTAGAATAAAATTACAGATAACAATGTAGACTTACACAATTACAAAACTAATTGCTATAAAATACATAAAAATATATTTTTTTTATTAGTAATCATAACAATCAAATATACTGTATTTACAATTTTCTTAACCTACGTAGTAATAATAAAAATAATTAACAATTAATAAGAAGAAAATTAAAAGAAATATATATATACAAAAGTCATGATTTACATGATTAAGTATATTACGCTAAAACAGATGGAATTGATATAGTTCAGTGTTAGAGCTAAGAGCTTTATATAGAAGAGTTTTAAAAGATGTAAGAGAGGTTAATCGTATGTACTCGGGGAGCTTTATTGTATGGTGAACTAGCTGGTGCCCGCGACTTCGTCTGCGCAGGATTAGTTTTTGAGTAGCTTATATTAGCGTGGCGTAGAAAAACCTGAAAATATTGACTATTTCAAATAAACATTTCCATCATACATTACATATGCGTAACTCTAGCGGTTTTAGCAGCGCACGCCAGAATAGCTCGCAGATGGTAGATTTTTCATAATTACTTGAAATTTTGGACAACTCACACAATATCTTTACAAATTGTAGCCTGTTATTCTGATGTATAAGCTATATTATTGTAAAGTTTCATTACAATCCATTCAGTAGTTTTTACGTAAAAGAGTAACAAACATCCATCCATACTTACGAACTTTCGCGTTTATAATGTTGGTTTTTTTTTTTTTTTTTATAGAACGGGGGGCAAACGGGCAGGAGGCTCACCTAATGTTAAGTGATACCGCCGCCCATGGACACTCTCAATGCCAGAGGGCTCGCGAGTGCGTTGCCGGCCTTTTAAGAATTGGTACGCTCTTTTCTTGAAGGACCCTAAGTCGAATTGGTTCGGGAATACTTCAGTGGGCAGCTGGTTCCACATAGTGGTGGTGCGCGGCAAAAACTGCCTTGAAAAACGCTCAGTTGTGGAACGTCGGACGTCGAGGTGATACGGGTGGAATTTCGTATTCTGCCTCGACGTCCGATGATGAAACTCAGCTGCAGGTATTAATCCGAACAACTCCTCTGAACACTCTCCATGGTAAATGCGGTAGAAGATGCAGAGTGACCCCACATCTCTACGCAACGCCAAAGGATCAAGCCGCTCGGAGAGGGATTGGTCGTCGACGATTCGAACCGCTCTGCGTTGTATACGGTCAAGTGGAAGGAGCTGGTACTGGGGAGCCCCTGCCCAGAGATGAGAGCAGTACTCCATGTGGGGCCGAATTTGCGCTTTATATAGTTGCATGTTGGTAGGATTATATAAGGATAATTATTATATTATTTTTTGGTTTTGTAGATGGTAGTAACTGACAAAGAAATTTCAAACTACGTTGATGGTTTCGCAATACACTCTTACTTGGATCCTTATACGCCGGCGGGTATTATAGATATGAACATGAAGAATTACCCTGACAAATTCGTTCTGGGAACTGAATTTTGCACTAGTAAGTTTCGTATAATATAGTAATAATAATGGCCCAGTGGCGTTTCATCTATATATACAGGTGAGCCTCCTGCCCGTTTTCCCTCTGCGCTATAATATATATATATATATATATATATACAGTGTAAAATCTTTATAACGAATTTAAAGGGACCGAGCATTTTTATTCGTTATACGAAAGGAAGAGAAAAAACACCAAATTGGTTAATTACAATAATTTATATATATATATTAGATAGGTGACAGTGGAGAGTTTAGTAACTGAGACTAAATTTTCCTGCAGGCAATGTAATCTAAGAATAATGGCACAGGTGTTAATACAATTAACAATAACAAAGGCGAAGGCTGTTTATGACCTCAGGTGTCTTTCTTAGAAATTTCGGCACCTCAAAAGGTTACTTTTGTAATCTGACTATAAAAAAAATCACACTTAAGTATGTTGTTGATGTCTAAATATGAAAATATTTCTTCGTAATAGAGAATCGCTGTTGTGTTATAAAGAGTGAATTATGTATGAGTTTTGTGTTAAACCAAACAAATTTATTGCTTTTTACGTTATAGGGAGTTAGGCATATAACGAATGACGTTATAAAGACTTTACACTGTATATATTATATATATCATTCAATCAGCTTTAATACTATTTATAAAGTGAAATAATGTAATTGAGAAATAGTATTTTGTTTTAATTACATTATTACGTATCTGTTTAAAAAAATAATCATTAGAATGTTACATTATCCCTAAATTTTATTTTATTACCAAAATATTTTATTTTATTACCAAAATATTTTTTTTTAATCATTATTATTAGAAAAGGCCGTTAAAGTTAATTACTTATGAGTATTTTTTAATTTCAGAGGGTTCCGATAGCACAGTACCACTAGGAGATTGGGGCGAAGGAGAGGTGTATGCCGAAACAATTCTTGAAGTGAGTGATAGAGAGAATTACATTTTCTACGAATACATTTCAAAATTAGTTATATTAATTAATAATAAACTTTTATTCAGTAACAATAATATACTTTATTTATATTACACAAAACGTTACTATGAAAATTGGGAGACTGACTGCTAAAAGCAGTTTCTTCCCGGCAAACCAGACGTGAAAAATACAAACAGAAAAAAGTAAAATCAAATAACAACTAAATATAAAAATAACAAATGAGTTTATTGATATAATATTGTTAATTGTTTCTTAAGTATTTAACACTTCCAGGCATGTTTGAGAAAAATAACTAGTATTCTTCTTTAAAATATTATAAAATTAATTTTGAAATTAATTATAAGTTTTGGTAGTAAAAAAGGGCGTGAGCTTGGAAGGTTGCCGAAGTGATAATAAACAAAATAAAAGTACGCCGGCTGAACAAACAAACCTAAGAAACTTCCACTTTAATATTAATTAAAGAGCAGTTTTGGCTTTGTGTCATCAGTGAGCGACTCTCATCCCTAAGGTCGTAGGTTCGATCTCTGGCTATGCACTAATGGACTTTATATGTGCGCATTTAACATTCGCTCTAACAGTAAAGGAAAACATCGTAAGAAAACCGACTTGCCTTGGACCCAAAAAGTCGACGGCGTGTGTCAGCCACCGGAGGCTGATCACCTACTTGCCTATTACATTGACAAATGACCATAAAACAGATGAAGAAATCTGAGTACACAAAAAGGTTGTAGCGCCACTGATTTGTTTTAATATTGCCTAAATATAGATTTTCTATTCCAGAATCTAGCCACCAACTACGTAGGTTTTATAGACTGGAACCTGGCTTTGGATCTTGATGGTGGGCCGAACTGGTCGAAAAACTTTAATGATGCACCAATAATAGTAAATTCCACAAGTGGGGAGTTTTACAAGCAGCCCAAATTCTATGTTTTAGGTCATTTTTCGAAACTTATACCTCGCTGGTCACAAAGAATAAAATCTGTCCGCCAGAGTCCTATTAATTATACGCCTGATGAAAATAACATGTAAGTTACAGAATGTATTAACTAAAGGTATAGTGTAACACTTCAGGCGCAGAATTTAAGTCAGAATCTCTTTTAGTAGTAGACAGTCATTGAACCCAGAGGCGCTACAACCCTTGGTTCTGGCCTCAGAATTCTGTATCTGTTTAGTAATATTTTTTTTCTCAATAGGTGATCAGTTGTGCCTGCCACGCCGTCGACTTTTAGTGTTAAGGCGTGCCGGTTGCGTTACGATTTTTTCCATCTCCATATAATTATAATAATAAAGCATGTTTTATCTCCAATCATGACAAAAACAAATATTATAATATACAGCTTAGATTGTTTTACATTTTTATTTTTTTTTAATATTTTGCTTGTTTGGAACCCCTTCACGGGTAAAGGTCTTCTCCAGCTTTTTACAACTGACTCTGTCTATGGCTTTCTTTCTTCATCCGCTTCCTGCTGCCGCTTCTATTTCTTCTATCCACCTTTTTTTGGGCGACTTCTTCTCCTTCTTCCTCTTGGTCCTTTCCATACAGTTGTCTTTAAAATCCACACTTCCCCATATAAGTTAAATCCATAGAAGAAAAGTCTATAGGTGGGGTTCGAACCCCAAAACACAGCGCATTACTGTTCTCAAGATCTGCAAGTCCGAATTTACAAAAAATATTGCATCGAAATTCCAACGCATTCAGGAGCCTGTAACAAACATAATTTGCGGCAACTTATAGCAAAGGAATCAGTTGGAAAATTGTCATGTGACCGAGCGTAAACTGTCATTAACGTATTAAATGTCATTTGGTCCATACAAATTTTGTGTGGGATTAGTGGGCCCCGGAATTATATTCCAGAGACAATTTGTAGTTAATTAATAACCGTTGCATACATAGCGGTATTAAATCACGAAATCAGTTATTTTTTGTCTGTTTGATCATATTTCTTTATAAGCCCCTTTATAAGATTACGGTTTTCGTGACACATGCCATGGTTTTGTCACGATATTTTCTTTCCCGTATCAGAATGTATTAATTGATAGAGTCTGGCTAATGAAAGAAGATAACGAAAAAGCGCGGTAAATTCAAAAAAAATTTGTATGGTATCCCTAAAAGTTTGATATATTTTGTGGATTAAACTTACTTGATACTTGATTTTATTTTATTATTTTTGACATTCATAGTAACTGTATTTCTACGAAATGAAATACTATACGTATTTAGTATTTTACTATTGATACTTAATATACCTAGCATTGCATGGAAAACTAAAACTATATTTATTATAATCAGAATCCAAAAAATCAATAAAACAAAGTTTAGGCTAATATACCTGTTAACTATTCGGATAAAATATATTATAGAAATAAAATTGAGCAGTTGCATGAAGTATCCAGACAATAAATCATACTAACCTAAGAAATTCAATGACATTCTGTGTTGCCATCCGAAAGTTTTCAAATAATTCTATTATCTTCTTTCATCAGCCAGACTAATAATAAATATGTACACAAAACCCTTTATGTTGGCACATATTATAATTTATGATATTTTTAGATATGATTCGACTCCTCCAAGAAAATACATCTACGACCATGTAGCGTTTGTGACTATCAGAAATACAATTGTTGTTGTCATTGCAAACTAGTAAGTATTTTTATTAAACTAGCTGCCCTCGGAAACTTCTTTTCGTGATGATATTTTTACTTAGCCTTTTTTCAAATTTATCTCTATATATATGTCGTGGCCATATCCTAGATTTGCTCACTTCATGAAATGCTCGAGAATTTCATGAAATGGTCGTATTTCATGATGTGGGCAACTTAATTTGACCAGACCATTAAATCGTCCACATTTCACGATTTTTTCATCCACATTTGGCCGGATCGTATAAATAGGGTGTCCATATATATTTAATAAAAATCCAGAATATGTTAAGAACTTGTTTATTGTTATTTAAGTCCGACTGATACAAACAAAATGAATTAAATTTTTGTAACAAAATTAAACATCAAACACGTCATGATACACAATTATTTTTAGAAAACAAACAAATATTTTTAGAAATAAGTAGGTACTTTGGTACATAGTTACAAAAAGTAATATAATAATTCACATGGAATGCACAATAAATGAATAAAAATTTAAAAAGTCAGTGTTACAACCTTTCAGTCATTTGTTGGCGCATGACAAACTTTGGTGACACTTTGAAGTACAAAGTGTTTTGTTCTTGAAACATGCGCATCTCTTTGTACGGCATTGGTTTTTTGCTGGCTTACAAAAGCATTTTTTAAAGCCTTGACCTCCAAACAAAGATTGGAAATTTACAGCTTCCCTCAATGATATTGGCAATTCTGATATAACTTCGCAATAATCTTTAGACGACACCTGTAGGTCTTGCCGAGAAAACCAATTTTTAATTGTTCCAGAACCCGTTCCGATTTTGTATACTCCGTTCCTAAAATCAACTACCTTTCCAGCAATATTTTTGGTGTCAAGAGGTCCACGGTCAATTTTCGGTACATTCAAAAACACAGAATTTCCAATTTCTAACAAAGGAAGTTTTTTGGCGGTGTTATCGACCATTTTCTCTGCAGCACGTTTAACACCGCTATTAGCTTTATCTCTTTCATTAACTATCAACTGTTCCTTTTGGCAAAGAAAACATTGAACTTGAGATCCAAAACCTTCTTCTCCACCAGCAACACCACAAATAGCATGCACAGGTTTGGAACACAAACTACAGAAATGAGCTCCTGTTGTGTCCTTGCCACAGACGAGACACACTGGACCATCAGCTGACTCTAATTCCATATTATCTGTCTCCATTACTTCAATGTTAGTAAAAGCCTCATCAGCAACTGATCCATTTACTATTGCGTCATCTGACGGCATGACATTAATGTTTTCTGCTGTAAAATTATTCTGATTTATTTGGTCCAATTCTTCCTCCTTTTTCTCTTTCTGATTGATTTGGTCAAATTCTTCGTTTGTCTTTCTTTTCTGATTTATTTGGTCCAATTCTTCCTCCGTCCTGATTGATGTCATAATACTTTCAGGAATATTACAACCTTTCAATATAGTTTTCGGCTCAGAGCCAAACAATGCACGGTAAGGGGATCTGCCAATTATGCGGTGGTAAGAAGAGTTTTTATAGAATTGAACAAAAAAACAACCAATGGACCATTTAGTAGACTTATTATCTTGCATCCAACACCGCAACATATTTTCTACGTCTTGGTTGGATCTTTCCACGCTGCCCTGTGTTTGAGGACGTCGAGGACTACCGTGAATAATTTTGCATTCAGGCCACATCGACACCAATTCTTCTATGACATGCGCGGTGAACTCTCTTCCATTATCACTCTGTAATATAAACGGAGCGCCAAATTCCAAGAATATTTTTAAAAGTTCCAAGGCTACTTCTGCAGCTCTTTTCGACTTTAGAGGTCTGAGGTGTAAAAATTTTGTGGCATGATCTTGGTAATTCATAAGCCATTTAAATTCTCCATCCGCGGCAGACTGTAAATCTATTAAATCCACCTGCCCTCGTGTGTTAAAATCTTTAGAAATTATCGGCTGAGTTACTATACCTTTCTTTGGCACTGCACGTTTCTTCTGACAAACAGAGCACAGGTCAACGAATAGCTCGATGGGTTTCTTCGGAATATAAAGCCTATTTTTAATGTGTTGAATCATTTTTAATCGTCCACCATGTCCAACAGTTTTATGTACTTCCTTTAATATTTCAAAATACTTCTCCATCGGAATTATGCGAATCGTATGATCGTCGACGCATTTTTTCTTGAATATAAGATATTCCTCATTCGCAGTTTCCAAAATATCATATTTTGATAACCAGTAATAGTCCATGGACTTCTTTTGCGTAGTCACCCTACTCTCCTTAATTTGTTTCATAACCTAAAAAAGGAAAAAAAACATTAACTTTAATAGGTCATAATTCACAAACTTACATAATATCAATTAATACACAATACGTTAGCTGGCATAGAGTATTTTGATAAAATAAGTGAATATTTATGTAATTTAAGAGTAAAATACTAACCTGTGAAATGCGATCCAAACTCCACGGTTTTTTTACATTTTGCTCAGTTTTTGCGTGACTTTCATAGTACTCGAGAACCTTTTCGTCGTAAACTCTTTTACTATCACTTTCTTCGTCATTTATTAACGAATTATTCACTTTTTCACTGCGAGAAACAACATTATCGACAGCGGCCGCCATCTTCACACATAAACAAAGCGTTTGCAGCGCCTCTACCGGTAATTAATGTAACTACTTTACGATATGATCAAATAATTGACCATTTCATGAAGAAGCCGCGCGTTTAGTTGCCCATATCGAGAAACGATTTCTTATCATTGATCTGCCCAAACCACATCACGATGTGGCCAATAGACAATGAAACATTTCATAAAATGTAACCATTTCATGAAATTCTCGAACATTTCATGAATTGAGCTAATCTACGATATGGCCACGACATATATATATAAAATTCTCGTGTCACAGTGTTCGTTCCCATACTCCTCCGAAACGGTTCGACCGATTCTTATGAATTTTTTTATGCATGTACTGTAAGTCTGAGAATCGGCTACTATCTTTCAAACTCCAAATTTTTTTTCTAGACAAAATTTTTTTGTTTGTATATTTTTGTGATACAGCATACAAAAATACATACAACCCCTATTTTTTATTACAGTAGATAGTTATTTTTATTGATCTAAAAAAAGGTTTAAAATAAAATTCATGGCAAAACAACGTTTTCCGGGTCAGCTAGTATCTCGATAAAAACCTTCCTTAGAGTTCAAAAAACAAATTTATTTTGCGATTTTTTTATTTATATAGATTTTATACCAGTGTCCTTAAACTGACTTTAATTTAAAACTTAGAAGTATATACATATCGGCTCAGTGGCTAATGAATAGTTTATTGCGTTTTTTACCCAAGACGAGTTTAATTCCCCGATAAACAATAATTTGCCGTTGTTTAAATTATCAAACATTAAATAAAACTTCTAATAAGTATTAAATCAAGTTAAAATATTGTAAATGGAAATTTCCTCTGTACGTCACTTCGAGTTATAAATAATGTATTTGTTTATTCTTACATTAAAGTTCACAAATGAGAGTGTGATATTACATGAATTTCAATCTAGCCTATACAATATACATTATACAATAATTATGGCTATAAATTATGTTGACTTAATTTTCTACAATACTATTGAATATATTAAACTAAGATAATGTTCATTAACAGTCTTAGTGTGCTATAATGTTTAGACAGTGTTCGTGTCTCCGAGATTCCGTACTTGCACTTTTATTCACTACAATGTATAAATCCACATTAAAGAAGTTTTAATTTTTTTTTCAGTGATGAAGCACAGAATGCCGCTATTATTTTTGGATCGAAACAAGTGACGGTGTTTTTGGAAGCCAATTCAATTGTTTCAGTGGAATTCCCTTACTCTTTTTGAAGTTGTATATCTATCAAATAAAATCTTAGTCAAAACTTATGTCTTTTTTCAGTAACCCAATGTCATTGCCTGACAAGAACCAACTTCGCCATATTACGCCAAATTTTTTCATATAATTATTTTATAAAACATGTATTTATATTTATATTAAAAACCCTTTTGCAAAAAACAGGCACCTAAGGAAATTTATGTTCTAATGTCGATTTCAGTTAAAAAAAAAATTAATTGGTTGATCTGTCAATGTTCGCCCGCATTGATTTCGCGGCATGAATGCCAGAAGTTGTGATATATAATTTAAATTAAATTAAAACTTGCCCTCGAACCGGGAGTCGAACCCGGTACCCCTCACCTAGCTGCCACTTAATAAGACCGCTAGGCTATGAGGCCCTTTGATTAGAAATTTGGTGATAAAATAAAATATAATTTGATTTTTAAAAAAAGGTTATAGTCAAATTTACTAAACCATATAAAGTCATCGACATAATCGATATCTTTATATGTTCGCAGAGTGAGTTAACTGTATCGATACTGTGTATCTTAATATGTATTTACTATTATATATTTGAACATATTTTTTTTTGTAATAGTGTATGTACTTTTTGTGAATAAATAAAATCTTTAATGCCTTCAAATACGTTATTATCGCGTTGTCTGTCCAGTTTAATTCGAAAAAAAATCATTAGCAACGAGTATTTTTTTATAGAACATGGGACAAACGTGCTAGAGGCTCACCTGATTTTAAGTGATACCGCTGCCCATGTACACTCGGGCTCGCGAGTGCGTAGCCGGCCTATGAAATGAAATTCAAATAATAAAACGTCGTTAATATGGCTTGGAATTAGCGGATGCTACTCGTGTTACTGAAATGATACTATATTAACTGTACCTAAAGGCGCTTTGCAAATGGAGCAACTTCAGATCAGGCAACAATTAACTTTTTAACTGTATATTAAAATTTTGCTGTTGTTTTGAATGCTCTACCTGTGTTTATTATATAAGCAAATGAACCTTGATTATTGGGTCACTAACTCACTTCCTCATCCTCGGCCAGGATGGGTATGTATAGTGGTGTAGTCTACCCTGGACACCTCGAAAACTCTGTTGTCTACTCGAGATACTCTAGAAGTTTTGCTGTTGTTGCAAATTAGTTCTAGAACGCTTAACAAAACACATTTGGTGAATTAGCTCTTGGTACAAACAGGCACTTGGAATTAGGGTCCTTCAAGAAAAGACCGTAGAGGCTGGCAATGGCAATGCACTTGCGAGCCTTCTGGCAATATGAGTGTCCATGGGCGGCGGTATCACTTAACATCAGGTGAGCCTCTTGGCCGTTTGCCTCCTATAACATAAAAAAACAGATTGACAACAGCAAGCCGTGAAGACCCCGCACGATGTAATGTACTAATAAAGCTCTATGTATTTTAAAATTAGGTTTAGTTTTAAGTTCGGTGTACTATTTTATTAGATGTTTAGATTACGCCTGGGTTTGGAAGAACTGCATTTAGCAGTAATACCGCTCATTTATATTTTTTGTCTTCTTTTATTTTTTTCCTATTTTGTTGTGTGAATAAAATGTTTATTATTATTTTGCGATTACATATTTGTAAAGAAATCATTACGTTTCTTAAAGTAAGAACTATACGGAATTTATCATTATCTTAACCTACAAAGTAATAGTAAAACGAATTAAAAATTAATCAAAAGAATATTGAAACAAATTTAATAAGTTTGGTCCCTGTGGCAGTGTACCTTTAACGCTAGCAGCATTTATTCGCTGTATTTCGATACTTATTCGTTGAGCGAGGAAAGCACCAGTTCTGGGGTCACCGGTACCTACTATCTGCCAGGCGCCAACTTAAATCTTTAATTAGCGCCTGCGCACTTGAACCCCACGGCCCAAGAGTCTCTACTCCACAGAGAGAGAGAGAGAGAGAGATCTTTTTCTTAGGTTTGATTCTTAAGATTAATTATTATCTACGTACTAACTGATGTTTCATTATATTTGTTTATTAGTCGTGGAAAAGACGCTAGTTTTGGCCTGTCATTTAAATTTTAATTCAAAGATATTTTTGTTAGAATTTTCAATTATATAGGAAATAGGATAAAAGTAATTTTTTTCAAGTAAAATTAACTTCTACTGTTGTTTCTTTAAATACATATTTCAGCAACACATTTGAGGTTCATTCATCATAAATATATTTTGAGCATTTGATGACACATCAGTTCTCACTCTCTTTGCATTTCGCCGATCACCGCAACCCGTTTCTATGTTCGCAGTTCCAACGATATAAATCTAGTTGCCAGTGACTTAGTCGCTCCACTTGCAAACCGCCTAACGCGACCTTTGACTTTGATAACATACGATTGTCCATCCCTATCACATTGTATTAGCGTAAGAAGGACAGGCTTAGAACTCCGTTTAATAGAATATTGTCAATTGTCCCAACTCCCAAACAGCAACAACGCTTCGCTATGTAACGACGTCTTTTTAAAATTTCCAGCACAAATAACCCTTTATAAAATGATTACAAAAATAATATTTTCGTTTATATTCATATCGTGTATAGTTAAAACTAAATCAGGTAAGATCAATAAATCTTTTAATATCATTTTATTGCCACGATCGTGTCGTTATCAGACGTAATATACTTTTTCTTTTTTATTATTACTTTAGTATGCTTGTGTGTGCGAAAACGGGAAAAGAATCGTCGTGGGATTTGTAGCAGTGATAAATAGCCTTTTTGGTATATTAAAAACACTGTAACACAGTTCGACAGTAATCATATTGATGCTTATTATAATTGTATAGAATTTTTTTGAATTAATGAAATGATACGTAAATGAATTATATTTATCATAACCACGCCGGTTCTCTTCCTGCACAGCTCAATTAATATCGGTTGAGACATAACCAAACATTAAATTATTAGCAGCATTCAATTGTATAAACTATTAACTTAATTGTAAAAATATGTTTGTATACAGATTTTAAGCTTCAACAACTAAAATCATTGTTATTGTTTACGTTATTAATGAACTAATCCTGAAGTAAGATAAAACTTAATTATCTCGTGTCAAATATAACATTAGCTAATTAAGTATTATTCTTTACTTTTTAAACCATTTATTTGTAAATTAGTTATTAAGCTACCCGGATAATATCAAGGTATAGATATTTTATCAACATATATTGGCATTACGTTAAACAGCAGTGTTGGCCTAGTGGCTTCAGCGTGCGACTTTCATCCCTGAGATCGTAGGTTCGATCCCCGGCTGTGCACCAATGGACTTTCATTTTATGTGCGCATTTAACATTCGCTCGAACGGTGAAGGAAAACATCGTGAGGAAACCGGCTTGCCTTAGACCGATAAAGTCGGCGTGTGTCAGGCACAGGAGGCTGACTAGATAGCCTATTAGATTGACAAATGATCATGAAACAGATGCAGAAATTTGAGGCCCAGACCTGAAAAGATTGTAGCGCCACTGATTTATCTATTTATAAATTATAGCATAATATTCCATTTTTAGATAAGCCATGTGCAGTGAAGCACATATTAGGACAATCAATAGTTTGTGTTTGCAACTCTACATACTGTGATGACTTTATAAGGGAACCACCAACAGAGGGCTATATCACGTATACTTCTTCAAAGGTGAGATTATTTTATCTGAAGAGAAGGATATAATTTTTTCCTAGAGTAATAATGAACTTTCGTCCATGTATTAAGCTACAAAGATGGAAGTAACGCAGAAGTATCAAATAGAAGGTAGGAAACGAAAAAAAATACCACAGATCTGCCTCATCGCGTTGTTGAGAGGCTAATAGGGGTTATATGAAATAAAATAATACTCTTTCGTCGCCTGATCCCAATCAATAAATCAATCAAATCATTTATTTCAATTAGACCACCTAAAATGGCACTTTTGAACGTCAAACAAAATACAAAGAAGATTCTATTTGCCCCTTCCAAAAGATAGATGCTTGTGAAGAAGAATGGGCAAGAAACTCCACACTTACTCTTTTAAAATAGGTTTACAATATTTTGTTTACATTAATATTTATATGTGAAGACAATGTACTCTTAGAATAAAACTACTATACCAAAAAAGTTAGTAAGCGAAACTGTAGAATAGTATACATAAAAGAGTAATAAAAATAATTTAAAAAAAACACAACAAAACAGTGTGTGAGATAAAATAAAATAATTACATTTTGTAGTATTATAAATTTAAAAAAAAAATAACAAAAATATGTAAAAGCAAAAATCAGCAACCAATTCGATTTTGTCCAGGCTCTATGATTGTCATATGGAGCAGGACCAGGTCTCCCGGCGGGAGACGCCAAACCCACCAGACCTAGCTTAAGTATATAATTCCTTTTTTACAAAAGGAGAGAATAGACACTCCCCTGCTGTTTAGATTCTCGGCCACAGCCTGACTCATCGCGTGATTGGTAAACTATTACATCATATGAAAATAAAAAAGACTCGTAAATATACTGGTCTACGCTTACGTATACTTTTAGGTGCAGTTTTTCTATTATGCTATATGGTCTAACAGAGTGCAGACAATGTTGACGCAGTTAATGAGAACTATACAAATAAAATGAGTATATATGATCACCACACACATCATTATGAGCTTACGCATAATAGAAAGACTGTTTCACTAACTTGCAAACATGGTTTCGGCATCCTAACGTACGGATTGACACACCACACGTTATACTACTTTATTATTAATCAAATAGAGGGATACTTATATTACAATGAACAATACTTTTAAAAGTTCTACGAAAAAAAGCAACTTAAATATAAATAAAACACTATATATTTTTATAGTACATATGTCGCAGGCAACTAGCCGTTCAATTTACATCCCAGCCTTTTAACTAAACAGCGCCGTTCAACTAGCGGACTGAATAAGAAATTCTTTATTTAATATATTTAAAATGTAACTTATTAGTGTTCTTACGTTTACTATTAGTGTCACTACACTA